AGTTCTTTAAGAAGAGTCCGCCTCCAGGTCTGTCTTGGACCTTTGACCACAGGTGCTTTGACCATAGGGGGTTTGACCATAGGGGGTTTGACCACAGCGGGCCTTTGACCATAGGGGCTTTGACCATAGGTGGTTTGATCATAGGGGGTTTGACCATAGGGGGTTTGACCACGTGTGTTTTCTCAGCAGAGGGTCTTTGATCACAGGTGTGATACAATTAACACGATTTTATACATGTTTCCTGAGAGTACGTTAATAGAAATTAACATGTATTTAAAAAAGCCAAGAACTATATTTTAGTCTCCACATAAAGGCTGGTGCTAGACCTCATAGATTTATTTTAAATATAAATGAAACACAAATAATGCGACATATAACAAGTTTCACAAATAAATAATGTAGAAGCACTTGAAAATACATATCATATATAAAGGATAAAAATGATACAAAACTTGCCAACAATATAGTCAAAGATGTAATAAATAAAATGGTTAACTAAATGACAGATCTGCTATAGCACGCAAATATGTCAGTACATCTGTTTGACCATATTATTACATCATGCCGAAATTTAAAATATAATTTAGCAACTTTTAAAATAAATCCTTACCATATGTGGACAGCACTGGACAAAACACCTGAGATCAAAGACCCTATGTGGACAAAACACTTATGATCAAAGCCGGACACAGCGCTTGTGATCAAACACCAGTTGATAGACCACCTGTGATCAAAGACCCTCTGCTGAGAAAACACCTGTGGTCAAACCCCCTATGGTCAAACCCCCTATGATCAAACCACCTATGGTCAAAGCACTTCTATGGTCAAAGGCCCGCTGTGGTCAAACCCCCTATGGTCAAACCCCCTATGGTCAAAGCCCCTATGGTCAAAGCTCCGCTGTGGTCAAACCCCCTATGGTCAAACCCCCTATGGTCAAAGCACCTGTGGTCAAAGGTCCTAGGACCTGGGCGCCCACTCTTCCGATATTATGGCGGCTATCAAATATAGTTGTTTGGCTCCAACCCTGTCATAATAAAGTTTTTTGTAGTTGCTAGTAGTGCAAATGGCAGTCATATTATATTTTTTTAAACAAATTCTATTTTACACAGGTTGAGGATCAGGGGTAAGGGTTACGGGACATGATCATTTTACAAGGTTAGGGTTGTGTTAGGTTTATTAGATATGTTGTTAGGTTTAAAGGTTAGGGCTAGGGTAGTCTCAGAAAATAATTACAGTATTTTCAAAACAAATATTAAGTATTCAAAAGGATGTAATGAGATTTTAGTGGCGGTTTAAAGTTTACAATCCACATTATATACTAGTTGTGCTTAATTTTATATTTTCTCTATACTTTTGAAAATAATATGCCAATAGGTTTAATTTTTTGATCAAACATGTTTTAGATTTATGACTCTCAGATTAAAAGATGATGTTATTACTTTTTTCTCCCAAAATTTTTACTGATGCAAAAATCTAAATATAACGCACTGGGTTCGTGTTGAAGTTATCATTAGGATTGATAATCTTTTAGGATAGGATTAAGGATCAGTTAAGCAACTGGAATAAAAATTGTGTCAATGCCGGATAAGCAGTTGCAATATTACTTCACTACTTGTGAGTGTAAGATACTAGTATTGATGTAGTTGTATTCTTACCTTTGTAGATACAAAATGTAAGATTTGAAAATTGAATTTTGTTTATTGAAATATATGTTATATATAGTGCTGTGAGAATTGAAATTGTCATTTCGAATTAAATAAATTCTACAAACTACATAAGATAATACAAAACATTCGTAAATATAGTTGCAACTAACTCACTTTTGAAAACGAAACCGAAGAAGTAATAGGACGTATACTTTTTTAATACTTTTTTATTATGTCATGTGTCTAAATGAATGGTATATGTGTATGATGGACGATATGTTAAAACACCCGTTCACCCGTCATAGCAACGTAGTTTTCTGATCGTTATGTGGATTAAAGACACGACCACTAACCAACAAGTAAACCTTACACTAATTCGTTAATTTAACTTAAACATACAGAGCTATAATAGAATAAGATAAAATTTAATACGACCATGTATTTTCTAAAGCTCTCTAAAGCTTCAGTAAACCACTAGTCTAGTTTGTACCAAGTACAAACAATATTCACCTCCACTACTCAACCTTCACTCCTTAACGCCAACTGTTGATAAGCCATAAGCCCAGTGTTAAAGCTCGAGTGGTACTTACGGATTTTCAAAACTAAGTACACAGCCGCTAACCAAAAGCTAACTAAAAACAATCGTGTATATTAGAAAATAATTTATGAGAACCATGTATTTTCTGATGTTGTTTTAATAAAACCACACTCTTACAGCATGCTTGATCTTAAAGCATATTGAAATTCTGTTTTGACAGTCTATGGAAAATACGGAAACAAATAATTAACAGCAAGCAGTATATGAAATAAAACATTTTTTTTTCCATCACTGAGATTGCGACTGTTCAAAATGTATATTTTCCTTGTTTTCTTTTTTCTGCCATGTTTTGTCTGAGAAAAAAAAAATCAAAATGCTTCTCTCTACCAATAACTTTAATTTTATTTGTTTTGGACTTGAAAATTCAAGCATCTAGAGAATTGAAATAACATAATCATTCAGTTCACAATCAGAAGACATCTTACTACTAAATATAAATTACTGTCAGCTTGTTATTTTGTTACTATAGAAACACGAACTGCAATGTGTTTAAACGTTACAATCTAAGGTTTGTTGTTTTAATAATAATACAATATTTTGGAGAAAAATGTTTTAAATTTAAAACATTGTTTCTTAAATGATGATTACTGGGATTAACATCACAAAAGTTTAGAACTAATCCACTTGCACGACATTACAATTGTGCTTGTGATGGTGTGAAATTTTCTTGCTGAAATGTAAAGTAGTAACAAAATATTCATTAGGGATTTAACGCGAGTACTATGTCGGAGATGTTCATACAGTATGGACACGGTAGGACACTAACTTCTATAACTAAACCGAATCAGGTGTGCATAGGTACACCGACGTAATATGACATGGGGCGTCCTAGGCTTCCCTATCAGCACTAAGGTGCATACATACGTTTTAAAGAGCACCCTATATTATTGACACGGTGATGACTTGACATAACCGAATAGGGGGAAGAACTCTGTCCTCTGCGATAGTGTAACCACTGCCCCCCTGCGACGACACTGCTAGCTGGGTGGTCTTCGACATGATCTACCTCACTACTACATTAGGGACATTGGGATGATCTACCTCACTACTACACTCCGTCGTCGACTTAATCTACCTCACTATCATATTTAATCGGCAGTATGGTCAACCATCGCACCAAAAACTGGAATCCAAGACATATAGAGCTGGATTTGTTGACATTTACACAACTCAATTCAACCTACAACCCCCCTCCCTGCACCGGGTAGATTATGCTTGTAAGCTGGAGATTGCAACCAATTTATCGATATGCTGATACAATTACCAACTCAGGAATCCTTTAGGCAGCTCCTGCGACACTTCTGGTTCCAAGAGATACAGGTAAAATCCTGTGTCTAGGGTGCTTGGATTTTCATTAAGGTATTATCCATTGATCTAGTAGAAACTGGTCATATTTATTTCACTTACGTATTCTATTTTAAATAAGTCGTTCTCTGTTGAGTACGTCATCTATATTTGTGACATTTGTATATTTTATAATATTGTGCTCTGTTCTACACCAACTTGGTTCTGTTATTTACAATCTCACACAGTGAAAGGAAAGCAGGGATAGAGTATCTAAAGATCCACATATTTTTAAAAATTGCCGAGATTTCATTTATCAACTCGTATATTTCAGCCCTTGTTCTGCACATCGTGCTTCTTCACTATGTTTCACGCTAGGTAAATAGGTCTACAACTTAATCTAACGTGTATTTGTATGCTTTTTACCTAATATTTTAAAATATCTTTTTCGACTTTAATTTTCAAGTCTCTAGATAATTGAAAGAAGATTCGAAACTGAAATCAAAATTTTCTATATATGTGGTTAAAAATGTTTTAAGAAATGTATAGTTTGCAAGAATAGAACATAATTTAATAATGTTTTCAAATAAATGTATAATAATTTAATGTATTTATTTTTAATACATAATAAATATTAATAGCAAATGCATTTTTACTGTACGTTGTTTTCATAATAGCAGAATAGTTTGGGAGAAAAAATGTTTTTAAGTTTAAACATTGTTACTTACATGATGGTTACGTGGATTAACTTCACTAAAGTTAAGAATAAGCACATTCGCAATAGAATAAAAAATGCGCGTGTAATGGTGTGAACTATTTTTGTTGAAATGTAAAGTAGTAACAAAATATTCAGTCGGGATTTCACATGGGCACTATGGTAGCTATGTTCGTGTCAGAGACTGTCATGCATAAAGGGACACGGTAGGACACTACATTCGATAACTGAATCAGGCGCATCACTTGTAGCCCCAATGGTTACATGACCTGGAGCGTCCCGTGCTCTCTAACGAGCACTAAGTTTTATACATTTGTTTTAAAGAGCACACTACATCATGGACACGGCGGGACACTACATGTGATGACTTATCCGAACCAGAGGATATAGCCGGCACCCAATGCGGCAGTATACGCGATGGCTCAAAAGTGCACCCATTGACGAACTCATACCTTAGTTGTCATCGAGATGATCTACCTCATTATTACATTCTGGTAGTCGAAATGATTTACCTCTCTATTACATTTAGGTCGTCGAGATAATCCACCTCACTATTACACTCGTGTCTTCCAGATGATCTACCTCACTATTACTTATTTTTCATTTATAATATAATATAATATATAATATATACTATAGTGTTTCATATGCAATACATATTGTAATTATATTTACAATTTACGTTTTGTCGTTTTACTAATAACACAATATTTTGGGGAAAAAATGTTTTTTTTATTTAAAAAAATGTTACTTAAATACAGATTACGTTGATTAACTTTACAAAAGTTTAGAACTAGTACATTGCCAGCAGAAGCTCCATTCATGGAGTTACCCCTGAAAATATCACATGACGACAAAGTGAATGCACACAAAGAAGATTCAGAACTCCAATCGGTGGTCTCTCTCGTCCGACGATGACGAGTATTTCACCGCAAATGACCTGGTCTTCCGTCGCTTTTGACCATCTACTGCCACCCCTGCCGAACCATGGTTGGAGAAAAACCAACTGTGTGTACCTCCACCATATCGGCAGGAAATCCTGAAATTGGCCCGTGACAACCCGATGTCTGCTCATCCAGGGGTCAAGAAGACGATGGCAATAATTCGAGAACTGTTTTTTTTGGCCGAAAATGCATAATGATGTGTCCCGTTACTGCTTCTAACGCGCTATCTCCAGGCTTCTCCTCTCAAGTTAGAAAATCTGATAATAGATTATCATCAAAAACACCTTCATTTATGAAATAAACAATGATTCTATCGTTCAATAACCGTGAAGTTAGAGTAACCGAGTACTCTATCTTTAACTCTTTCACAACAGCAATTAATCTTTCCGACCTAACTTCTCCACTTCTTCAACCGAAGGTTTTAACAAAAATGACTCCATCTTCTATCAAACTATACAGTTTCCAACTAACTCTTGATCTACACACCACAAAGGAGACCACCCCTACTGTTATGAAATCGCCCTACACAGGACACGATGCTAACTCTCCTGACCTAAATAACAAACGGACTAGTCTAGGGCTGTTTTTTTCCTCCTGATTGGGAGAAAATTAATGAGGATGTTTTGAAATATTTTTGTTCTCTAGTAGGTCATTTAGTGTAACAAATTAATTTTACTTTAAAAATCTAAGGCCGTGTTCAAAACTGGGTCACACAACAGCAACTAAATCGAGTCAGCAGTATGTTTAGCAAGGTTGTGACCAGCTGTGATTGGTATGTTAACTAAGGTTGTGACCAGCTATGGTTGGTATGTTAACTAAGGTTGTGACCAGCTCTGGTTGGTATGTTAACTAAGGTTGTGACCAGCTCTGGTTGGTATGTTAACTAAGGTTGTGACCAACTCTGGTTGGTATGTTAACTAAGGTTTTGATCAGCACTGGTTGGTATGTTAACTAAGGTTGTGACTTGCTCAGGTTGATATGTTAACTAAGGTTATGACCAGCTCTGGTTGGTATGTGAACTAAGGTTGTGACCACCGCTGGTTGGTATGTTAACCAAGGTTGTTACCAGCGCTGGTTGGTATGTTAACTAAGGTTGTGACCAGCGCTGGTTGGTTTGTTCATCAAAGTTGTGATCAGCGCTGGTTGTTTTCTTGTCAATTGAGCGTGGACAAAACTGACATGGCCGATTTGTGTCCAATTTCGTTGAAACTAACTGGATCATCAAAATACAGATATGACATTTTCTGTTCCTCAACATATTCTAGCACAGTGGTTCTTTACATATTTGGAGGTACCGAACTCTACTAGAATTCAGCAATAGAAAGAAAGGCTGTGTTTAAAGAGAAAAGTAGACCGGTAAATGAAGTCCTGAAAAACAACAGCGAAGACAAGTCAAAGGATGCCAGGCTTACGTGGGCGCAGCTATAGAGAGCCGCCAAAAATCGAATACGGTGGACAGGTGTGGCAGATATAGAGAGCCGCCCAAAACCGAGTACGGTAGACAGGTGTAGCAGATATAGAGAGCCGCCCAAAACCGAGTACGGTGGACAGGTGTGGCCGATATAGAGAGCCGCCCAAAACCGAGTACGGTGGACAGGTGTGACAGCAACCTTTTGCTCCTCAGGGGTCACAGAGGAATATGTCAAGTAAGTCAAGTCGGAGTTCAGTGTACTCACTTTAGGAGTTTTTGCCAGGCGTAACGCTGAATGACGTCATCGAGTTGAACCATAGATTTATTCTTTATCTTCTTTTCTGTGAACACGAAGCAGTAGATGGGTTAACTTTTTGTTATACTGTTCTAATTGAAGTACAATGTGGTATAACTTTATGTAACATTTTATTGCTTTAAACACAATATTTGCTAAATTTAAGGTTGTTTGTTTAGTAAATGGATTAAACATTTTTTTTCAACAAATCGTCAGTTTTACAGCATTGTATCGAATGTCGATGTAACATGCAAATAATATATATTTATTTTAAGAAGGAAAATATTTATAGTACATTTATTTTGACGTCAGTATTTCCAGAATTATTTCCTTAGAAATATGCAACTTTAATTGTACGTGCACCAAGTTTGTTTGCAACTCAGCATTCTTCAATTATTATTTAAACAAGATTCGTTGCGATTGATCTGAGAAGGGCTTCGATAACCCGACACTTTTTTGTATCTCTGATATATAAACATGTAAACATCAAATATCTGCCATATGCAAACATATATCTGCCTTGTCAAGACTACCAACGACACATTCAGCCTCGATTCCCTACCCTGCTCGATTAAAAATACATTTTTTGCTTTAAAATATCGTTCGTACAGAGAGGACATGTAGATTTTTAATGGTGCTCCTCAGCATGGTGTGTTCAAATGTTCTTGTGTGTGTGTTTATGTGTGTATGTGTGTGGTGTGTGTAGTTGTGGGGGAGAGGTCTTAATACATGCAATGCAGAATTTTTGTAAAAATGAAGCATCTTTTAAAAAAAATGACTATTGCCCTTACCCAGGCCTAGTATCAAGTCATAATCACGACATCCTGCGGGGTTTCCACATTTCAAACGTTCACCTGTGTACTGTCTGTGTGCCGAGCAGTCCATGCTAGTGAAGATTCTAGAGGTTCAAACGTTTTTTGGATCATTAAATAAATCAATTCAGCAGCAACAGGCCAAACTTGGACGTATAAAACCTATTTAGTGGCTTGAAACAAACTACGAACCTCCAACTTGAATAAAAGTGTACTCAAACCAGATAGGTGTAATCAAACAAGACTGGTGTAATAGAACAATACAAGTGTAATCAAACAAGACTGGTGTAATAGAACAATACAAGTGTAATCAAACAAGGCTGAAGTAATAAAATACATGTGTAATCAAACAATTTATATGTAATCAAATATTACAAGTGTAATCAAAATATATAGATGTAATCAAGCAATACAGGCGTTAATAAAACGCAGGTGTAATCAAACAATACAGGTATAATAAATAAAGGTGTAATGCATTTTTTCCTCGATGAACAAAGGCTTTGAAAGCAAATCCAGAAATAAAAGCAGACTGAAATTGGAGTCAATGGGCCAAAAGGGGCATAACATGTGGACACCTAAAATTGAAATGTTTGGATAAAATACCGTCCAACATTACAATTAAGAACGAACGTTGAAGAAGAAAAGAACAGACTAACTAAAAATGACCTGCGTTTCTTTCAGGCATTTCTTCGTTGTCTCTCCCCGAACAACGTCTACCTCCCCTCCCGAACGGAATAGAATTTATATAGAAAACAAATACTTTTACCAGTGACCCCCCCCCCCCTGAATAAAAAGTCTGAAGGAAACACTGCAAATGACAAATTGAACATGAGACTAATGGACCAGCTGACAGATCTTTACCTGTGGAAATAGGTTTCTTGTTTCAGACACCATTTCACGAACTCACCAAGCACGCGTTCGTTTATCCAAACAACTATATTAGCACAACATGCACTGTAAATTAATCCAAGCAAAAGAGATTCCCCTTTATAAAGTAACTGAAACAAAAAAAGCTTACATATTTTACCAAATTCCGACATTTTTGCTAAATGAATTTGCATAAAATTCATCTCAACAATGCTTGATTCAGTCATTTTCACTCAACAGTAGCTTGTATTTTCGCTCAACAGTAGCTTATTTTTCCGCCTTAATTCAGCCATAATTTAGCCACTAATGCACCGAATTTGATTAATATAAAAAACAATATTATTGCATTTCTAATTGTAGTGATTTTTTAAAATCGCCTTCAATTTATTTTGCATACATACTTAAATTGTTTTTAATTTAGTTTTCATTTATATAAATTCATAAATCAACTTATTTAAACAAAAGTTATAATAATTCCAGTAACAATCCGTATCATTAAATGTTTCATCTTGTTCATCATTGTTCCTTGTAGAAAAGAATCCCAATGTTAAAGGCTGGCAAATCTACTCTGTTAGTTCCCCGGATTGGTCACTTATGTATTCTCTTACATTTTTAACGACCAATTCTTGTGTTAATAGCAACGAGCTTGCTTTATTACTTTTAAAGCTTTCATCGCATTTAAAATCTTGTTTTATTTCCACCACGTCCAGCCATGTTTTCTCGTTGCATCCTCTGCCTCAACTGCTCCGAAGTTTTCAGTCCTTTCCGACTCTGTCGTTAGTACCTATTCTAAACGTGAGCCCAATCAATCGCTATTTTTTCTTTCTATGATGTGCATTTCTCATGCTTTCTGTCCATACATCCAATGTTTTGTGATTTCTATTTTGTCATATTCGACTGTTTTAAATACGTTTCTAGGGCATATGTTGAAGACAGCCTGGATACATTTTGTTATTGTTTCTGTTGTCCTCAATGTTTCAGATCCGTAATTTAGAACTGCATTAACATTGGAGTTGAAGATTATTATTTTAATTTTAATACAGTTTTCGAGGCTGCACGAAGATGGACATTGTGCTTATCGGGCTAAGTTTATTTGCTGTTTGATGTCTACGTTTGTTCCTACAGTACAAATAAAGATATATTTAGTTCTCTACGTTTTCATTCCCATCTTGTTTGTGGTTAATTTTCATAGGCCCTATATGAGTTTTTTCCATTAAATTTTTACTGCGTGTAAAACCTGCCGACCCAATATATTAAAAATAAATGAAAGTTAATATTTGACTCACCCCAAAGGTTCCTAATAATCTTAAGGAAATGTAGACCTCCAATAACATTAACACTATGTAGATTACATCACTGACAATTGACCGGACAAGTGCACACAGTGGAATCACCAGGGCTAAATAGATCTTGCCGCAAAGCCTCTGTCCCCACGACGTCTCTTTTGGTTGACCGGGTAGACTGGGCACTCCATGGTCTATCAGAGGTGTGGTAGTGTTAGTGAGGATTAAAGTAGTGGTAGTGTTTGTGAGGATTAAAGGAGTGGTAGTGTTAGTGGGGATTAAAACAGTGGTAGTGTTAGTGAGGATTAAAGGAGTGGTAGTGTTAGTGAGGATTAAAGTATTGGTAGTGTTAGTGGGGATTAAGGTGTGGTAGTGTTTTTGAGGATTAAATTAGTGGTAGTGTCAGTAAAGGGTAAAGGTGTGGTAGTGTTAGTGTTAGTAAAGGGTAAAGGTGTGGTAGTGTTAGTGAAGGGTAAAGGTGTGGTAGTGTTAGTGTTAGTGAAGGGTAAAGGAGTGTTAGTGTTAGTGAAGGGTAAAGGAGTGGTAGTGTTAGTGAAGCGTAAAGAAGTGGTAGTGGTAGTGAAGGGTAAAGGAGTGTTAGTGTAAGTAAAGGGTAAAGGTGTGGTAGGGTTAGTGAATGGTAAAGGTGCGGTAGTGTTAGTGAAGGCTAAAGGAGTAGAGTGATGGAGTGGGGATTGAGAGTGTAAGAATATTGATGTAGTGAAACGATAAGAGTGTAAGAATATTGATGTGGTGAAACGATGAGAGTATAAGAATATTGATGTGGTGAAACGATGAGAGTGTAAGAATGTTGATGTAGTGAAACGATGAGAGTGTAAGAATGTTGATGTAGTGAAACGATGAGAGTGTAAGAATGTTGATGTAGTGAAACGATGAGAGTGTAAGAATGTTGATGTGGTGAAACGATATCAGTTTTCTGTCATGTAGTACGGTGGCCTAAGTACTTTATACAAGGCGGTAACCTCCATGTTGATGATCCTTGTCGACACCAACCCACGCATGGTGACAACGCCGTGACATCTGCTTTTGATAACTATTTAGAAGTTAAATAATGGGACGGCGTGGTTGGAGGATGGAGCGGATTACTGCTAAACCTAATGTCTTGGGCTCGAGGCTGTAGGATTTTCCTTAGTTAACCCCGCTCTGATTGGTATATGTCTCACGTCAGGGAAGGAAACAGTGGTAGGCATTTTGTTGTACACACTATCACTTAATAGGAATATGTACTGAAACTGCCTGCCATGTTTGAGTTAAATGAGTCTTTAAATTAATCAATGAGATACTACTATTTTGAAGTACAACAAGGGAGATAACAAAGTAGCATCAATTAATTTAACTGTCAAGCTCATGTAGTTTTCGAAAAATGTTTATGAATTATAATTATTGATAAAAGACATATGCTTACATCTAAATATAGCAACATAATTGAGCAATTTTAGGTATGTCAGCAATTAAAAAAAACATATCATTAAATATTGTCGCCATAAAGATCTGGATCAAGTTACAAAAATAAAAAGAAACACAGTCTATTAAGCGTTCATATTAATTGCTTCTCTAGAATTTAAATTCCTGTGAAATTATTATATTTTCATGTTCGATATGAAAGTCTCTTATTTTATTCTACATATGATACATGCTGAATTTAACATTATTTTATTTTTCTAAAATCCCTAATGTATTTCTCCTCTACCGATAATTATAAGCTCTTACCCCCCCCCCCCCACACCTAAAAAAAAATCTTACCTTCTATTTACTTCTGATTTTTTTATTCCCCCTTAGACCCCCCCCCCCAAAAAAAAAAAAAAAAACATACAACAAACAACAACAAAAAACACAGAATTCACAAAATTTGAAATGAGACGATTTGAATTATGTGTAAGAAACAATTTTAGTAAATGAATGTGGGCCTATATGTCAGATAGAAGTGCTGCTATTGTAAATCTGTATGTCCTCATAAGCCAATGAAGAAAACTGTCTTAAGGGACAACACCTCGACAAATACAATACAAGGGACGTAACAATAACTACCAAGACATAACGTAACGATTCCAGTACCGAAAACACTTAAATTATAGCAAAAGCACCCAACGGCTACTAGCCATAAATAAAAGAAGTGCAGGAAGGGTCTAATCTAGCACAAAAGTAACTGTGGTCCTGAAATTTGTTATTATAACTTGCAAAGATGATACGTAAAGTTCCAGTGCGGTTAGACTAAGTTCACTATAGTTACACATTTTATTAGATTTTTAGATCTATGAAGATAAAAATTCTGAAAATGTACATTTTATACACATTTTAGAGTGTTAATTTTAATATTTTTAAAGTTTAATATTACTCAGACGAAATATATCTAGAATCTAGATTAGATCTAGATCTAGAAATCTAGATCTAGTCAATAATATAGATGATCTAGATCTATGTGGACTACAAAACCTGCTTTTTATTTATGTCACACACAAAGCATCAATAAAAACCTGACTCTTACTTGTCTTTTCATCTGTTTCCATTGCTTCATAAAGGCCTTCTTTTAGCATGTAGGCCCCATCTACAAGAGACAGTTGTTTATTATGCTATGCGCCGATCTCTAAGGTATAAAATCATTGACGCGCTATTCAGTGCGCACGGTGTTGCACTTTACTGACGGGAATTCCAGAACTAAACTGTCACCATGGTGTGTTTTAATGTCGTGTGTACGTGTGGGTGAAACAAGTGAGATTTTAGACTTTCCCTGCTGATGTGAAGGTGCGCTACATTTATAAGCTTTTACTCACAATGTATCTTTGTTTGTTTCTAATGCAGCGAATTAGTTTGAACTCTCTTTATATATTTTTATTTTAATTAGAAAATAAATAGTTCGTAAAGATTTAATTAACAGATTACTATATTCAATAATATAAAACAAATATAAAAACCGTTGTAATTATAAGCTTCAAAATACACTGAAAATAAAAATAAAATAAAACCAATTTGCTTTCATTAGTAAAAGCATTGGTCGCTAAAATATGTAAGGTATTTCTTGAGCGACCAAAGCTTTTATTTAAGATAACAAGTTTACATATTTCAGTGAGATGCGAATATATTCTGTCTATAAAAGAATCTATAGAAAAGTTAACAGTAGAACAATTTGGTTAATATATTATCTATACCTAACTAAACATTATAGTAGGTTAAATAAAAAAAAAAACCATGCCATAGGAGAAGTTTGTCAAATATAATCTACATCTAATTCAGTTCAATACACGCTTATTCCTCTGGTGTCTGTTTTAGTAAATTTGTGTTCAAAAATATGTATGTCACACGGCTGTGTGGTAGGACGCGGCAGCGCATGATTGCTAAACCTAAAGTCTCGAGCTTTGATCCTTGATTCATGTCAGGTACCCAAAAAGAGCTGAGTAAACACAGAGACGTCCTGAAGACATGAGCATGGCAATGGAACCCAAGACTTTGGGAGGTGAATAGTTTTGTGAAATATTTTTGTTCTTCTCGTTTGAACTAACACGCCTGCGTCAAGGTAGGTCATTAAGTGTAACAAATTAATTCTACTTCATACATCAACTTAACAGAGCGAGAACTAAGTTAACAGATTGTTACAGGACCTGGTCGGTGTTGTCTGGTCCATGGAGCGTGACTGTTATGTGTTGTGTTTTGTTCGATTTCTTTTAGACACTCTAGTAGTTATTTGTATCTGACATTTCCTGTCTTTCTTAATATTCTAGTAGCTATTTAAAAAAATAAACGATGATAACACAAACACACTTTATTATTAAATTAAAGAGTTTTTATTCATTTTTATAAAAGAGTATATTGAAAATAATAATGTAATGAAAACAATCTTGACTTTTTTTGAAAATATTTCCACTTCAGTTTTAGTTTCCCTTTAATCAAAAGCTCGAGATATTTTTAACGTTGCCAATAACACTTCCGTAGAAATAAAATGTTTTAAATTTACTCTCAAGTTCTAAATAACGAATTTAAAGAATTGGCACAATAAATTTCTTGTTTCCTTTTTGATGGTCCGATGAAAATAAATTAAAAAAAATTAAAAAGGCCTGATTTAGCGGTGGAAAACTTTTGAAATAAAATAGTTACAAATATTATACTCATTAAGCATGTTAGGCAGTTTTTTAAATTTCCCGCTAACTAGTCTAGATTAGATAGCTAAAGCTACGTAAAATGGTTTCTATATATTAGCAGGAACACTGCTATAGTATCACAGGACTAACATTTCTATTTAGAGTTAGGCTTAAGGCTAATTAAAATTTTATGTATGAATTGTAATTAATTGGATTAACTTTAAAGTTAATACAAGAAGCAAACGCAGGTCTGGCTAATCGACGACAAAAAATGAATTGACGCCAGGGTCTTCTTCAGTGTGACAGACGGGCGTCTTGTTCATGTTGTGGTCCCCATCACAAGTGGACTCGTCCTTCGACAATGGACTGGTCTTGATGTCCACTGACTGGTCCGTCCACCTGAGGCAGACACAGGAGCCCCGGATGATGAGCTGAGGGTGGGTGGCCGAGTGCTCATCGCCATCTTGGTCCAGCCATTTCTCAGGGAGCCGAGTGCTCATCACCATCTTGGTCCAGCCATTTCTCGACCATCATACGTACAAAAGCCTGAGGGAGGGGAAATAAGAAAACAAATGGGTTTTGTTTACAACAGTTGGGTGGTTGCTGTAGATGTGTCTCTGTGTTTATTTAGTATATCCTCTAATGTTTGAGATGTGCGTCAAAGTGGAGACATCTAGTCAGCTGACTTGTCCAGTCTATGTGTTTGAACATGGGCTATTGAGCTCAAGAGTAAGATCTAATACCCTTTCGAGCCGGAAAGCGGGGGGGGGGGGGGGGGGGGAGGGAAGGTCAAGTGAAGTCAGTATAGTAATGTCAGAGGCGAGGTCGGGTGTCACCCGGTGCGGCAATTAATGGTGACACCCACCCCTCCGTAAAAAATGTATATATATATATATATATATATATATATATATATATATATATATATATATATATATATATATATATAGTGAACGAAAGAATGGGATGAATGGGGGTGAATGTTGTTGTTACTTTGAACCCTATCCTGTTCGTCCTTGTTCAATTCTCGTGCCGTGAGTTGTAATAGTCCGGTCTGTACCAGTTTCTGAAAGGATATATAAGGTGTCTGAAAACGTAAGAAAACCTTAATGAATATTTCGTAATATTCCTCAGCCTAGACCCACTCTCCACCACGTACTTCGTTGGTTGAGATGTTCCACCCCTAATAGCCCCCCCCCCTCCCAATTCGAATGTTAATTTGCTGACAACCCTTGAATGAACTCTAAAAATAACATGTGAACCATATCGATTAAGGACTATGTGGTGGCTCAATGTGTTTAACATTCTATAAACTTATCGTCTTCAAAAAGCGAAAAACAAATCAATACAACTCCGTTAGATTGCATAAACTTTAAAAATAATTTAGTTAAATTTAATATAAACATTTTAAAAATGGTGAAATAAATAATCAAGATAAATTATGTCCTAAAAATTAAACAAAATTAAGTCATAAATATAAAAATAAATAACTCCTAAACGTCAGATATCGCCGCAATGTTTAATTTTGTCGTTATATTTAGTGAAAGGAGAAGCATAGGTAGAGCCTTGTGACCATATAGATAAAATGTGCGTTTGGAAAATTTGTGGAAAAATTATTTATGCGATATACGTGAATCGTTAAATTGATCATTATTTATATTCTTCACCCAGCATGGCCACCCACACCCAGCAGGGCTGGAAATCATTTTATGGGAGAGGGTTATGTTTACATTAGTGAAGTCTTACGACAATGAGGTGAAGTAAAAATCGTTTGTACAAAATGTTATTAATGAAAGGACGTTTCTTAAGAGGCAATCTACAGGAACACTACACGGTTTATTTTATTTTTTTTAGAATAGTTAAAATTAAAAATGGACATAAAATTTAGACAATGTTTTAAAAAGAGAAAACTGGTTAGATTGTATCAAATAATTTCGTCTAAAAGTATTTTAAGCGTCGTTTGCATAGAATCCACATTGGTTTTTTAACTACGAATTTCAGTGCGTAAAAATCTTTAATTATTTGAATGTATTTTTTCAATGTGCGAAAGTATGTGAAATACACAATTCCTACTGCATAGGATAACAAACTGTTTGCTTTATTCGCAAATAACTACATTAACGACTTGACATAGAAGTGCCACGTTTAATCCTACAAAACTCTTGTTACGTCATGTTAGTGGTCTATGTATTGTGCAAGACACTTTTCTTAAAATGGTGTTATTTTTCGGATTTCCAAACTAGTTTATTTATTGTGTAAAGATTTATTTTTAGCTCGGTGCTGGCAGCGTGTGTAGCCTAGAGCTGCAGGTAAACAGTAACCCCCACCCACTGCCTACTCCCCCACCCCAATACGTGCCCTCAATTAACGACCACGAGAGCAAGAGGTGCTTCAAGTTACAGCTATTGACAACGGTGTGCCTGTCGCTCTAAGTTTACTCTTTACAAGTTTTAAACGTCTTTTATTTTTAAAATTTAGTTTTTAAAACCATTATGTAGGATATATATATATATATATATATATATATATATATATATATATATATATATATATATATATATATATATATATATATGCTCTGTAGTTTTCTCTCAATAATTCTGGAGTAACTGATTTTCAAAATAATGTCTAGAAAGGCTCGCATTCTATCAATAAACAATTTGCTTTTGCTAACATGAGTTGCGACTGCATTGTTATGTCATAACACCATGATAATAATGAAGGTAACATTAATAATTTGTAATTAAATATCACATTCACAAACATTCCAGAACATCAAATTTTGAGAAAGACGAGATAAAAAACAAGCGATCATTTCAATTGAATATATATCTAAATCTAAATGTTTCTATACTTAATTAAGATAAAGACCTAAATATTATACTGACATTTCAAAACAACATACGCATTTTTTAAGAGTATAAATATTTAAAATTTAAAAGTAATACACTATTTAATAGTTGAAATCAATAAAATGGGAAAAAATAATCTGGCAAACACGTATAACACGTATATATTCTTTTACAAATTATCCTGGCTGTTTGCCAACCGACGAGTTATGTCCTCTTTAAGTGACGGCACAGCTTTTATTCATAACTCTGAAACAACCACGATCTTAATACATTCAACAGAAAGAAAAAGGTAAGATCTATTTTTAGCAATGAATCAATAAGTATCGATCAGGTTGAACTTCAAGTCGTTGACTTAAGTAAAGATTTTAAGAACAGAATAAACTGTGACTGAAGGAATTTAATTATTGGCGGATCTCTCTCTCTGTAGTGGATTGTGGTACAAGATTTGGACCTGATGGAAAAAAAAAGCGATACATAAACCGTATTATTATGACACGAAAAAGTTTAAACATTAAGTAGTTGTTAGGAGTCAAAACCAGTAGCGTAGCGAGAGGGGGGGGGGGGGGGGGCGGGGGGCACATATGTCCCCGGGCGCCGACCCTATGGGGGCGCCAAAATGGGTTGGAAAAAAATTATAAGCTCATTTTAGCTGCAGTTTTGAATTATAAACTGTCAAAGTCAAGACATTTAACGGCTACGATCCTTTACATTCTGATTTAACTGTTTTCTACATTGACAGTGTAACTGCAAAATAAATGCCCTTAAGAATCAGTGACCGGAAAACCCACTTTCCAGCTTTTCTTTTATTGTTGGGGGGGGGGAGGAGGAGGAAAGAGCGCGCTTTTACGCCGATTATAATCGAAAGGCGGAGGTGTAGATACGATTTTTTGCGTCAGGGGACAAACTATAAAATTGGCGCCCCAGCCCTGTCCCCGTTTAATCAAATTTTTCTATTACATTAAATAAGGCAAACAATATACATTTTAATTAAAATTGTTATTTAAAGAGGCAAATTTATACAAATTATAATACATGACCCAATCAGTCAATGTCGTATACAGGTTGGCATAGTCTTCGAAAGATTTATTTTTCTTGATTTCACAGTCGCAAACTGGTCAATTACGCAATCAACATAGGTTTTTTCCAATGTTTCTCTTTCAACGCTAAGAAGAGCAAGATCACTGAGACGATCTTGAACCATTGACGGACGTAAATGTAACTAAATAAGTTTCAATTTGCTGAAGGACCTCTCGCAGCTGGCAATTAAAACTGCTATTGTTAATAAAAGCTGCAGTGAAATTCGTAGATTCGGAAATACATCGTTACCATAAAACACAATAAAACCAAGAAGATCCAAAGGAGTTTCTGGTAGAACTTCATCCGGTTTCTGAGCAGCATTCTGCAATCTCTAATTTCTGTGTAACGTTCGTGACCATAGATGTCCGTGTCGTAGAAGTTTTCAAAATCTGTGCAATTTCGACGAATTTTATCGACATCTATGTCGGATAAAAGTGTCTTAACATCCAGTAGAAACCCAAATTTTGTACAGAGACAAGAAAACAGCGTAAATAAAACTTTTTCCCGCTTTCACCGGTATCTTCAAAAATCGCGATTCCATAAAGACTTCCGTTACTGCGAACAAACGAAAAAATTTCGGCCGATCCACCAACCGCGGGATAATATACATACACATATTCATATATATATATATATATATATATATATATATATATATATATATATATATATATATATATATATATATATATATATATATATATATATATTATATATATATATTTATTTATTTATATTTATATATATATATATATATATATATATATATATATATATATATATATATATATATATATATATATATATATGGGGGGCGCCAAATTGAAAGTATGTCCCCGGTCGCCGGAAGGGGTCGCTACGCCTCTAGTCAAAACGCATTTGTAAAATCGTATTGCAGTCGACACACATAAGAACAAAGAGCCTCGTATGTCCCGGACCCAGAACTCAATAATGGCGGGTCAATAAATGTTTTTGTCTGACTTGTTAAACAACGCGTCACCCAATGTAACCAGTCAGTATTGACACTACAGAAAGACAATTGCTCCCTCACTTCACCCCAACAAAAGAACATTTTATAGCTCCTCTCTATGTACAACATGTCCCAGTTCTTAGCCTTATTATCACCAATCACCTTCCACCACACATTGTCGTTTAAGTCGTTACACACGTGACCTTCTATTTCTAACGATTTATGTCGACGTGAACAACACTAACATGAAAGACAAGCAGGGATTTCCCCAGATCAATGCAGGTTAAGTCTATTTTTAGAATCGTCTATGTATTCATAAGCCTGGAAACCAAGAGCTACCAGTACACAGACAGAGCAGCAATCGAAGCAGTGTTAACCTAACCTTCTCTTGTAAGTAAACATACGATTACTAGTTTAGTATGTTTTTTAGTTGTACTGTCTAATGCCACTATAGTAGAAATAAATAGTATGTCTTTTTATCTTAGCCAAAACTAGTATGTTCATATCTTTAAGAAATGCTAATGATTTTATTTTGAAAATTTAAAACATTAATATTTCAATACTTTCTGTATTTAATAAATATTGTGTATTTTATTTTTATATTTATTTATTATTTTTAAAGCTATTTAAATTGAAAAACATAAAGTAACAAGCCCTTTACATATTTTACAAACAACATTATTGTATCGCTTGCACGATAACCGCGTTATACAAAAAAAGTGCTTGGGGTCATCCATCAATTGCGGCACTCTTTTTTAAAACAACGATAACCTACCAATAACATGTCGTTACAGATCGTTACAAAAAGAAACAGATTTAGTAAGAGACCACAAACAATTATAATGGCCTGTAATAGATTGTTCAGTACAACCTTAACTTTAATATATATATATATATATATATATATATATATATATATATATATATATATATATATATATATATATATATATATATATATATATATATATATATATGCAGTATAAAATCATATCATGTATTATTCGAATGCAGATGATTAAAATAAACTATTAGATATAAAGAAATGTGTGTATTATATTACCTGTAGAAATTACTTATACACATCATATTGACTAAGTAAAGAAAATTGAACACTTATCATTAAGGTTCGACCTATCTGCACACGGAATCCAACTTTGTGAATTTAACTTTTTAAACTGTATTAAATCTGCATACACAAAAATTACAGATTTTGAATTTATGTCAATACTAAATATAGCACCCAAACCCCCACCACAGAAACTTCCCCCCCCCCCCTCACCCGCCCTCCCACCCATTCCTCGTGCGTTTCGTTAAACGGTAACAGTGTGAGGGGGTTCTATGGGATTACATGACTTTTTCTAGAGTAAAATTCTGTATAACTTTACAAAATGTTGTCAAAGGTCAGTGCTACTCTAGATATGTTGCTACCAAATTGTATTACTTTATTTGATGAAACTGTGGATCTGCTTTTATAAAAATAGTTTGTAGGCCTATATACATTTTGTTCATGGTTTGCCATTAACTGAACTGAAACTTTTTAATAAGTTCAATACAGATATATTATGTGAATTGTTGTTATTTTGGGAGCAGTCGAAACTAATGTCAAGCATTGCGTGGGGAAGGAGTCAGGGTGCGTGTGTGTGAGAGAGAGTGAGTGGAGGGGTAGTGGTGTTGTGACGTTTTGAAATATGAAAGATAATGTGACAGGTGGCATGGTTAAAAACGAAGAAATGCATATAGATTTTATTGGCCAAGTGGGGTTTTATAAACGATCTGAAGTAAGTTATTGTTAAATAATTCTAACATTGGTTAAAATACACACTTTGGTTTTTGTTTCTCCGTAAACACAATATTTTTTAAATTAACGGAAATAATCAAATTGGATTTACCAAGAAAAAATGAATAAGGTCTACATATAAAACGTTTTCTGACACTTAAATTAAAATACAATCACTTATGAATTATCTCGTAATGACCCTTACATAAACTCAGGGTCAAGGGTCAAAGCCACCCCGCATCTACCTGCACAAGCTATGATAGTGGTCTGCCACGAAAGCCTTATTTTTGTAGGGCTGAGTGGTAGAAGCGGTTACACGTCTGACTTTATGTATGGAAGGCGAAGGCGATAGGTGCCGTGTGGAATGGTAGGTTCGAAACCCGTTGGTGTCTGACTGCTTGTCTTTACTTGGACTATTTTCTGTACCTTTGTCTACCCTTGGCGTTGAAATATCACTTTCTGTTAATATTGATTGATTCTATTGATCAGTTTTGCTGCAGTATGTAAAACATAATTTGGTAGAAAGCTGCAGAAAATTGGATTATTTAGATTTAGGCTAGTATTTATAATATAAACGGGCTGTTAGTGTTTCAGTCCTTCCTTCCTTCCTTCCTTCTTTCCTTGTGGATACATTTTAATAACATAATAACAGTAGGGTATAAAAATCTAATTAAACTGTTTAGTAATTTTGCCATGGGATGTAAAAAATAAATTTTAATGCAAAATCTCCAAGACGGAATAATTATTGGAATAATATAATTAGCAAAATCTGAATGCAAATTATGCAGGCGTGTAAGAGTACATTATTGTTGGAATATTATAATTAGCATTGATTGATAAAATGCTATCTTTTATTTATCTTATTCACTGAACGTACTGATTACTAATTATAATTTTTAATCAACTATTCCCCATCAATATATTATATATATATATATATATATATATATATATATATATATATATATATATATATATATATATATATATATATATATATATATATATATATATTTAAAGCAATGTATGTGTGTGTGTCTGTCTGACTGTCTGTCTGTTTGTTTGTCCTTTATGCATTACTACACCTCTCATCACATCGCCGTGAAACTTTGGGAAGTTGTTGAGAATATTCCTGGGGAGCTTTCTGCGAAAAAAACGAATTTTAAAATCGCAGGGGTGGCACCCCGGCAGGGCGCGATTTGTTTTTCTCTATATGCGGTATATAAAAATATGAAGTCGATTTTGGTTTGACATCGATCATCCGATAGCCATGACACTTTGGGGAGTTCATTATAACACTCTAGGGAAGGGTTCTGTAAACAAATAATTTTTAATTTCGCAAGGGCGGCGCCACGGGAGGGTGCGATTTTCTTCAATATATGATTTTTAAAAATAATAAAAGTGAATTGCAGTGAAACCGTTCATCCGATAGGCATGAAACTTTGGGAAGAAGTTGAATTTATTTATGGAGAGGTTTCTGCGATAAAAACATTTTCAAATTTGCAGGGGTGGCGCCCCGACAGGGCGCTAATTGTTTTTTCTCTTTATACGATATATAAAAATAAAGTCGATTTTGGTTTGACACCATTCATCCGATCGCCATCAAACTTTGGTGAGTTCATTAGAACACTTTGGGGAAGGGTTCTGTAAAACATCATTTTTAATTTCACAAGGGCGGCGCCACGGAAGGGTACGATTTTTCTCTATATACCCAATATAAAATAATAAAAGTGAATTGCCGTGACACCGTTCACACGATCGCCATGAAAGTTTGGGAAGAAGTTGAATTTATTTCTTGGGGAGGTTTCTGCGCTAAAAACATTTTCAAATTCGCAGGGGTGGCGGCCCGGCAGGCCGCGATTTGTTTTTTCTCTATATACGATATATAAAAATAAAAGTCGATTGCGGTCTCATAACGTTCATCCGATAGCCATCAAACTTTAGGGACTTGATTAGAACACTCCAGGGAAGGGTTCTGTGAAAAATTATTTTTAAAATTCGCAAGGGTGGCGCCACTTTATGGTGGGATTTTTCTCAGTATACGGTATATAAAAATAAAAGGCTATTGCGGTTTGACGCAATTTATCCCGGTGCCATAAAACTTTAGGGAGTTGATGAATACTCCCGAGAAGGTTTCTGGGGTTGGAGGGGGAATAGGGGTATGTGGGTGGTGGGGGCGGGGGATTTAATTTTGAATGCCCTCCGCCCCCCCCCCCACCCCCACCCCCCCGGGCAGGATGCGGTTTGGCACCCTGGTCTTTCCCGTGAGCGCTATGGTGAATACGTTCGGTCTAAACAGCGTGATAGACAATGGATAGGATGGGACGTTACAAACGCTCACTAAATTGAATCAGGCGTGTCATCGGGCGCCCTGGAAGAGTGCAATTAGGCTGCAAATAAAAATGTCTGTTTCGGCCCAGAGCTCATATGGGCCGCCGAGGGCCATATTATACGTTTTATTTCAATAATCAGAAAAAAATTCTTTTTGTCCGTAAAAATCCAGTTTCTTCACTTTGCGAATGATGCAATTAGCATCTATTTTTAGAAAATCAAAACAGAAATTGAGATCGAGCATCTAAGAATAGGCCATTACTTACGCTAACATATTGCATCAGTCCCACTGATGTTTAAACGCGTCAAATATTTTTTTTACGTGTTAAATAACAAATCCTGTTTATTTGTGTCACTGCAGTGAATGACGCAATCTGCATCATTGTTAACAGGATGCTATTTTAAGGAGCCAGGGGTCATACACCGCGCCTATGCGGTAGTGTAATCGGGGGGGGGGGGGGCGGGGGGGCTCCTGAGAGCGGGCCTCTACGTCTCTGACACATGGGCGGTCACCGAAGTGTGTTCTACCATATTATTTCGGTGAGTGATTAATGTACACTCAGGTTTTCATGCGGTAGCGTAGGTAAACCCGTGTCCTGATATTTATGATCCAAACGCAGGCATTGTTTACAATTAAATAACTGATTTTTAGAAAAGAAGGTCATGGGTCTAAGAACATATAATTGGTAACGCGTTGGTTAAATCCTTCTAATATATTTCGTCAAACTTTCTTCTATCCCCGCGGCAACGTGCGGGGGTCGGGTACGCTAGTTAATATATAAAGTCATCACGTTCATTAGGTGCGCAATGATTTTAGTCATGAAAAGTTTATTGTAAATTTTAAAAAGTACTGAAAAAATACATGAACTTATAAAGTGCAATGTGGTGGGTAAAACACGAATATTCTAAATGCTGCCTTTTATTTATTTTATACACTGAACGTACAGTTTAGTAATTATTACTCTATCTTTCAGTTTGCGGACAAGGTAGGGGTTTTATAGCAGAGGCGTAGCGAGGGGGGGGGGGGTAAGGGGGCGGACAATTGTTTTCGGGCGCCGACCTTTGGGCGCGCCAGAATGGGTTGGAAAAACAAATTGAAAACTTGCGGTGGAGGGGGGGGGTGCAAATCAAAAGTTTGAGCTGGCGGGGGGGGGGGGGGGGGGCTGCAAATCGAAAGTTTGAGGGGGATGCAAATCGAGTTGTCCCCGGGCGCCGGGAAGGGTCGCTACGTCTCTGTTTTATAGTCATTCACTGAGTCCGACGCGTCCGCCGGCGCTCGGAAAGTGTGCGATTTGGTGCTACGGGCTAGACTGTGAGCAATATGCCTTTATGATTGCGTTTAAATTGTGTTTATGTTATGAGTGTTGTGTTTGTTTTTTCGTTTGTGTTTTTTTTGTGTTAGTTTGTGTTGTGTTTAGTTTTGTTCTCTTCCCAAGTTGGTACATTTAAAAAAGATTTACCATGGCGGAGCACCGGCATGTAGCTTGTTTATGTATGTCAATGTGAACCATATCCATATTTAAATAATATTTAAACGTTATACTAATATTGAGATACACAATAAAGCTGAAATGTTGAAATTTAAACAAAATGTGATGTTTTTAAAATATGCATATATTTAAGCTTTTTTTTTTTTTATAATTCCCGTAAAATAGCCTAATTTCTCTAGGTTAAGGCCTAAGTGGCAAGTTAACCGCTAAATTATGGTATCGATTCTTCAAAAAGCAGTTTTACAGCAGACGGTCATTTCACTTCATTTCATTAGCAAACTGGTAGGGTTGTTCGACACTACTTAGAGTTAGCACTAACATATTAATTAATTAGTGCCTACACAGTTAGATCTAGAAAAGATGTAAAATGTAAAACGATTAAGAATCTACATTTATAGATTCTAGTTATAAATTCTAGGTCTAGATCTATATCTATATAGATCTAGAATCTAGACTAGATCTAGAGATTCTAAATCTAGATCTAGACATAGATATCTAGTAGTATTTCTCGCTAACCCGGAGGCGTGGCCGGTTGCTAACAACAATATGGCGTTGTTTAGACGATTTTTCGTCTTAGTTCCAGAGACTTTCTTAGAATTACTTTTAAAAATGTTTATCACGAGTAAAATGGCGGGTTTTCACGTTATAAAAACATGCTATAGGTGGCAAGGCTAAATATGCCAGAAAAGCATTTTAAAATTTGCTTTGGAGAATGAAGGCTAAATTTAAAAGTCGGTCTCATTAAAATTAATAGAACTTCTAAAATATCAGCCTGGAGGTCACAAAAATGAATTGGAGGTTGTAGAACTATTAGGTTTATCATTATATGAAGAAATAAATCAAATATTGCATGCGCTTTTTAACCCTTTCCCCGGCGACTGGGTGTAATCGACCCGAAGTCGCTATATTTTTGCTCATATCTCGAGTTTCGTTTTAGAAATTTTTCTGGGCCTCATTCCCATCTATAAGGTGGTTGGGATAAACACATTTTAGGTTGTAAATTTTAAAAATGTGCTTAAAAAAATTTTTATGAGGGTTTGAATTTTTTTATACGGTCCCTGGCAACTGGGTGCTACACACCCGTGCACAATTTTGAATGGAAAAAATATTTATAACTTATAAACTGGCTTCTAACAATTTGTTTTTACTCATTGTGGGTTAAGTGATTGTGTTACATTTTCAAAGTTTAACTATAAATTAACAATCTGAAGGTATTTGAGTTATAAAAATATCAAACTGAATTGAAGTAATAAACTTTGGTATTAAAATAATAGAACATTAACACGTTTTAATAATGTGCACCTCAGAGAGCATAGTTGTTAGATAAAATTAAAATAACTGGACATTTCCTTTTGCCTACAGGGAACTTTAGTTGTTTTTTTTTATAAAATATGGGCACCCTTTTAGTGGTTTTACATGAGTCACATGTCCAAAATATTTATTTTAATTCCATACTTATCGGAATTGCTTGGTATGTATTGGATAAATCTACTCCCACCTCTAAAATCAACCACTTGCTAATTAGTAATGATCTCTCCAGAAACATAACACCTTTCTAAATTTGAATGGAATATCTACCATAATGGAAGCAAATATACAATGAGCCTGATGGACTGTTAGTGTTACTGTTGTGAAGTGAATATGACCCAGAAGGTTGCTGAATTTCTTCATAGAAAATTCTGCCTTCAAAAACTTCCATAAGCAGAACTGAATTGACATACAACTAAATTGTTATTCTGCAGAGTGCCAGTGTCTCCTCTTGCTTTCTCTCCATCTCTGCTAATGCAGTCAAATATTGGTTGTATTATTTTTTGTATTCATGCACAGAAGAAATATTTAGGGTCAGACTGTTTATAAATTTCCTGGGATTAGCACTTCAGGCAGTGGTCTAGTGTACTGTTACTTTGTCTTTCCTGAAAATATTTCTTTTTCTTCACTTTGCACCAGCAGTTTCATTTCATTATGAGTGCCAACTGTTGACACATTATTGATAGTTGAAATGCAGTATATTGGGTAGACCTCGTCATCAGAGCTGCTTGATACTTATGGCTGCCATTCTTCATCTTCTACCTCTGATACTAATAGTTCAGACTCAAAACTTGTTGGTCATTTTCACCTGCTATACTAAAACTGGCAAATATATTCCTTTATCATTAGCACTTGAGTTTAGACAAAAACGTTCAAGACTTGTTTCTGTTGAGAAATAACGTTTGTGACTATAAACCTTACTCTCAGGGTCACAACCTGTAGAACACCCACCCTACTCCCAGTTTGATCAATTAATTGCCCAGTATCAACTTTCAAGCATCATTACAAAGTTGTTTTGCCTTTTTGTCCCCATTAGTACTCCTAATGAGGTAAATGTCAAGTTACTCTAAAAGGCTCGAATGTCTGTATCTACATTCCAGAGCTCCCTAAAAGAATACAAATCACTATATATGTCCTCCCACATGCAATCTTACCCTTGCATTTCATTAAACTATTGTAACTCTAAACTGCAGTTCTGTCTGTAACTGCAAGTCAGAGCTCCAGCAAAGAGTATAAATCACTACATGTGTCCACCCACAGGTTAACTCTTGCTTGAGAATCCCATCAACCTGTAGTATCATATTACAGCTCTCCTATTGACAACAACATGTCTTGTGTTCCCCATGGCCTCTGTGCCCTGAATACCTCAACTGTGTCAGTATTGTTACCCACCCCACAATGAACAAAGAAAAGAATTTACTATGAGAAAGTCTTTGGGTGTGATCCACCCAGTTGCCGGGGACATGGTACCAAATATGTTGCCGGGGAAAGGGTTAAAATAAGACACGACTTTTGAATGACAACCAAATTTTTTATTTTTTAAAAACCACGTGACCTCTATTTGATGATCACTAGTGAGGAACTCTGGGTACATGGCCACTTACAAAGTCTAATCGCATTTGTGGTTTTCTTTAGCTTCAAGGGTTAGAAGAGTTGTCATGGAGAGATGTGTTGGCCATGGCAGTGACTGAGTGAGTGTCAATAAATATTAAATTAAGTAATTTAGTTAAAAGCTAACTGAAAACTTCAAAATTAGATCTAGTGCCTAATGGATTGAATATGGATGCCTATCATTCAGTAGTCATGTTTAATTTGAAATTTGGGTAAATTCTTGGGTAAAACTCCATTATTTCAGCGTATTTTATTTCTCCGCTGCTTGTTTACCTCCAGTTGAGCGTATTTTATTATAACAACCGAAACACACCAAAACATTAGGAAAACATGATTCATTTATTAATTTTATTTGTATTGTATTTTTGTTTTAACAAATTAATAAAAATGAATAAAAAAAACAAAGAGACTGACTTTGTTTTAGATTTTGATAATTTAGTTTTGTTAAAACTTGAGAAAAATCCAAATTTAGAATATTGAATGTGCAATGTTCGTGTGTCAGAATTTTCATGGCAATGGGTGAAGTACGTAAGTCGTAAACGCAACTCACAATTGCAAGGCGGTTAAGTTTGTATTGTTACAAGTATCTCCCAGGCATGATACTATAAATACACATTTATAAACTTACAATGAACCCAAAACTGAGATCAACACAATTTCAAAAAGCTAGGTTGCCCGAGCTATGACGTATGCTGATAATTAAAGTCAATGTGAACTCACGGTGAACCCACGACCGTGTAAGGATTTCTCTCCCGCTGACGATCACACGATATTTAATTGGAACAGTTCTAATGGAATGCTTTTTTATGTTTTTTTACCTTTTCTAGATCTAGTAAAAAATCGCATTTATAAAAAAAATAAGTAGATCGGTGTTTTCCTAACGTTTTTGTGTGTTTTGGTTGTGTTTATAATAAAATACGCTCAACTGGAGGTGAACGTCAAGCGGGGAATAAAATACGCTAAAATGGAGTTTTACCAAATTCTAGATTTAGTATTAGATCTAGATCTAGTAAGAAAAACTAATATCTAGATCTACGTCTAGAATAGTCAAGATCTATCAGATCTACTTACTACTTAGATCTAGATCAGATCTAGATTCTAGTACTAGAATCTAGAATAGATCTAGAATCTAGGTCTACGGTCTACTAGATTCTAGATGATCTAGTAGTATCAAGTTGACAATAATTCTATACTAGATCTAGATCTAGATCTTACTGTATACTCATTATACTCTATACTCAGAGAACTTACTAAGCTAGGTGTAGATCTAGATCTAGATCTAGACCTGTAGATCTAGATTTCAATAATGTTCTTAGTTCTCACTAGATCTAATCTAGATTTAGATCTAAGCTAAAAATCTAAATCTTGGTAGTTCTAGACCTAGGCCCTAATCTAAATCAAAATCTTAGGCATACTAGAAATCTAGATCTAGATCTACTAGATCTAGATTCTAGACTATTAGATAGTAGATCTAGATCTAGAATCTAGATACTATCTCGATAGATCTAACTAGTCTAGAGATAATCTAGAATCTAGAGACAGAAATCCTAGAACTAGATTAGACTACTCTAGAACTCTAGACTCCTAGCCTAGAGTAATGATGTTATGTCTCTCTGCGATTTCCAGTTTAAAGTTCTTTTAAAACTTCTTTTAAAACTAGATCTAGATCTAGATCTAAATTAACACTTGAGTCTAGGTTTAAAGTCTAGAGACAACTAATTTAATAAACTGTAGGCCTATAGATCAAGACTAAATAGACTAGATTTAGCTAGACTAGATTTATATCTAGATCTAGATCTCGTCATAGTGCTCAACTCTACGAACTAGGCCTACTAGAATATAGAATTTACATTTTGAACGACCAAACTTGAAACTTTAAACATTTTAACAAATCTAATTTCTAATCTAGATTAATCGAGATCAGCATTCTATGAAGGTGCTTATTCGTAGTTTTACTTGTTTTGACTTCGAAGTGGATTTGAACTCGAGACTTTTCAGTCAGAAGCCATTGATAGATAATGGAATAACTACTTGTATAAGTAAACGCCAAAGGGTGTTATATTTCTTAACACAATCTTAAGTTAATTAAATGAGTTTATTTACTTTATAATACTTTTAAAGTTTAAAGGGTTCCTTAATTGCATGTTTTCAGATGTTAAAGTTTTATCGGCTGCGGTGTGTTCAAATGCCATTCCGTCCTAGCAAGAAAAGAGGTTGTATTTAAGGACAACATTAAAGTGATTGAGCTGTGTAAAAATTGTAAGCCATTAATTCTTTGAATTATGATAAAAATGTTGATAACTGCTACATATTCAATTATTGGTGATATATTTTAAACAAACACAAGTATATAGCTTTTTTGTTAACATAAATTTTATAACAAAAATAAGCAACTCTTGTATTTTTCTTTTATCACCACACTCTTATTAATAATAATGTAAAATGTTTATTGTATTATCATCATGTAATATAAATGTGTTATAAAAATTATGATATTAAACTTTGGTGTATTTTACAGAGCAAGATTACAAGGTTTCATAGCTTTCAGTTTATTCTAACAACATTTATTTGAGAACAGAAAGGTGTGTAGTGTATTCAAGGTTCAAGCTGAATCATTTAAGAGTCTCCACATTGTAAGTATAGAAAATTTAGAAACTTACTTTTTTAAATTTATTTATTATTCCTATAGTATAACTTTTTTTTAGAATTACTAAAAATCTTAAGGTGTTTATATATTTTTTAAGATTATCACTGTTATATAATGTTACTTATTTTATATTACAGAAGCATTGGCCAGGGACAATTTCTACAGAAAGCCAAAAAGAAAAGAGGAGTCACCCAGGTCAGGTAAGAAAAAAGTTTATTTAAATTCACTTAAAAATGGTTAGGTATTTTATTTTACAATTCTGAAAGCATCCATGTTATTGCTTATCAAGCTATAAAGTTAAAACATTTGTCTACTGCTAAAATAAAAGTAATAAGAATAATTTTTTATAACAGTAACAGTAGGCACAGAGGCCTTTTTTTCACATTGTCCGTTAAAAAAAAATAACATATTAAAGACAAAAGAAAATCAAAATGTGGAAATATGTCTGTAAATATGTCTGTAAAATTTACATGATTTTTTATTATATAATTGGCATGTGTGTCATTATTTGTTAGATATTTAATGTCTACATTTTTTCAGTTGTGGCAAGCTGTGAAATACAGAAAAAGCAAATAATGACTGACGAATCAGGTGTATTCCTTCCAGGTAAGATATATTAAAGCAAAAGGAAAATATAATGTAAACATTTAAATATTTGTGCTAGTATAACATCTAGGAGACTTTAGGAAATTTTTTCCCATAAAAGTTATATTAGAATTAAATCTAACATTTCATTTGCTACAGAAATAATTTGTTGTTTGTTCCTGTAGGAAATCATGAAGCTGAGATGTGCTATGGAGGAGAAGCTGATCTACACAAACATGTTACTGGCTGTAAGAAGAATCCAGGTCACAAAGGTTTTATACCTCTTAAAGATTTCAACGCAAATTGTCTCCCCTCACGTTACCATGACGACGATCTCATGTCTGAGACAATCAAAACATTGGCAGCCCTAACTGTCCAGGTAAAGACTAAATTCACCAGTCTAGAGAGACCAGAGTTTTACCCAGGCACTCAAGTTCCATATCCATGTTATAATGACAGAGGAAGTCACGTGATGAGGTTAGGGACGGGTAGGGTGTGGAGTGTGGATAAGTACACAGAGAGTGACAGATGGGGAACTTGTCGTTGTGCCAAGTGTCAAGTCTCTGCCACACCCAGCAAAGTGTGGGGGAAGGTTTCTGTGTTGACAGCCACACTTGTGGTGTTTGATGACAGTGAGGCGAGACAGACCAGGTGTGTTTTAGGTTTTGATGACAATAAAAGTCCAGTGGTCAGTCTTGATGGCTGGGAGGTGTGGGGTGTGGCAGACATTGAGAAAGACAGTTGTATGTTGAGTTATGTGACATGTGACATAGAGTTGGTTGATGAACTGTACAATATGTGTGAGCGCTTTATATATCTATGTAAGGAAGTAAGGGACAAATACAAATACAGGGGATTTTTTGGTGTGGACAAGTTGACCGTTATATTGTCACATCCTCATGGCTGTCCTAAACAGGTCTCTGTAGGACAATTGACACACAAACGTGAGAAGGATGGCGGGTACACCAGGTACTGGTACACAACATGTACATGTCCAGGCTCCAGTGGAGCGACTGTCTACAGGCTGAGACATGACAGGTGGATGTATAACCATCCCCACAGTGGATCAAACTCTGAAGGAAATTATAGTGGGGATTGTGTCTGATGTAACTGTTGGTTCTTTCCCCTTGTCTTCACAATGTAAACAAACAAAATGGCAGAACTTTTCCCGTCATTAAACTGTTTGTGTTAAGACCTGCATGTCTTATCAACATTTTATTACATTTAAATGATTAAAACAAATGTTTTGATTGATTTAAACCGTTTAACCAAATTAATTTGCATGTAAATTGATCGATTTTAGAGTTTTTTTTTGTTTCAAATGTTGTAAATAGTTTGCTTAAAAGTTTTGTCGGCACATTCATATTGTTGTCATATACCTAAAGGCTGGGTATTACCTGTCAATTAAATGTAACCTACCTTTATAAATGTCATATTTAGACTATTTGTATTTGTTTACAAAATGTTTACACTAGAGACATTAAATGGTAAAATAAAATATCTTTCTACTGTTGTTATTTTAATCGTTGTTGTCTGTTTATGTTTAAGTTGTCAAACAGCGCGTGTTGTGATGTCGATGTTCGCGCCAGCCTGTCACGAATTGTAAGTTTAAACTTTACAACAAAGTCTATTTGTTTATACCAAAAAAATCTGTAAGACTATTTTAATTGAGATAATTAGAAAAATGTGGAATTCTAATCATTTAAAAATATTTGACACATCGCATGCTATAGTTAAATGACTTCGTCGATTCTAGACCTGCTCCAATAGAAATGAAAAAATAGTTTGATGCTGTCAATGACTGACATTTGTGTTAACATTGTTGTCATTCTAATTGTCTAGAAATCGTTTAACAACCTGATTGGGAAATTAAAACACAACTTTTGTAAAAGTTGATAGATCGGCAGTGATAGAACAACTAGTGTGGCTTAAAACATTGAATCGAAGTTTTCAAACACGAAAAATGTTAAGCAGAGCATTAATAAGCAACTGAAGAAATGGGACGACATGGTCGACTAAAAGAGAAAGCGCATTTGTCCCCAAGGAAACGAGTTTGATTCCCATGTTCGATTACCTTTCTTGATGCACAGATCTGATGTGTACCTGGACATGTTTGGAGAAACATAATTCGGCTGGGTGTTCCGTGTGGACTCAATGATGTAATAAGTCATGGGTATAACAACACACATGAACTCTACTTTCTCTGCCGAATTGACCGCATGATATGCAAGTTATCTTTACTTGAAAGTGGCTTCTCAATTTAAATATAATATGTTACACAATGTTATACACAACTGTTACACCAATTCTACTTAGGTTCGAATATTGATACATTTATAGTTATAGCATGAAGATGAATCGGGGACTATAACGGTTTCTTGAATTTAATCTCTGTTAAATGATTTGATTAAAACGATAAAACAAATTATGTATGAAATAAACATCCTTGGACAAAGCTAAGTTATAAATACTGCGATCTCAAAATTGGAAAAAAAACTACTTTGTGGTCAAAGGGAAATAATAATGAAATAAAGATTGAATGACAAGTATTTACATAGTTGTTTCCCTGTTTAATCAAATTTAATTTTTTAAATTTTTTATTACACAGTACAAAAATATTTTATCCCCCAGCCAGCTTGCAAAATACAAGTTTAAAATTTTTGAATGATAGTCCCCATTTTAGGGTAAGATTAAGTCATTTTTACTTTCTCGTATATACGAAGTATAGAGAAAGTCTTGTAATCGTGCACAAAAATAGCATGAAATTTTGACAGTTTTCACCGTTTTACAACTCAGTGCTTCATTACATCCGGAGTATAGAGGACTTATTTTAATCAGGCAAAAATTATAAATACAAATATATAAACATTTTGGCGTTGTATGCGTTATCAAGTCGGACAAACTGGATTTTGCAATTCTGTCCGTACGTCTGTGTGTCTCTGTAAACATGATAACTTGAATACCGTTACAGCTAGGTTGGTGAAATTTCTTATATAAATATTTTATCAAAATAGTAGATCCGTATCAACGTTAGAGCGTTTTCCGATAACCGGAAGTGGTACTTTTTCTTCTTTGAATTTTTCAAAAGCCTATAACTTGAGTACTATTTCAGATAGATAAATTAAATTTCACACGTAAGTAAAAGATCTAATTTTCTAACTTCTGTCAAATTTTGAGTAACTTCCTTTGAACGGAAGTACTAATTTACGCTATTTCCGATTTCTCAAAAAACGCATGTAAATTTATAAAGAACTAATAATATTGCGCACTATTATGAACATCTTTATTTGGCGTTCACTTGGTGTGCAATTCTTTTTTCTACAAGATTTTATTCTATTTATAAAGGTCAAGTATTTAAAATGGATTAAAAGTCGTGCCTATATCCCGAGTTGCCATCGCCGATTATTTCAAATAAGAATATTCGAGAAAGTTTAAAATCATTTTCCTGTGTTTTAACCTACATCAGCTCCTAAAATGTAAGCAGTTCTTTTGTTGTTAGGAGAAAAAAGGTTTATAGCAGAGCGAATTAAATTGACAACAAGATACGTACAACACATTGTTACCGCACATAGTATAATGTACATGGAACAGATAAAGTAGAGTTCTTCAACAACGACAGTTGTAGATTTGTTTCATTTAACGTTTGCGGCAAAACGGTCAAATATTAAAACGTTTGGAAGAAACAGTTTTTTTTTAGTATCAAAATGTGCCTGTCTAACTCAGAATCAAGTTGACATCAACTTTTCAGCAGAATGCTTCATAAGTCAGTATCTCCAGCAGTAGACAGAGCGCTCAACTGTTAGCCGTGTCATCCTCTACCTAGGTGGTGACTGTGACCCCCAAACATTACCCTTGTGGTGTGTCACCAACAGTAGATTGGGCCATCAATGCGGTGTGTCACATATGTGTAAAATTCCGTTTGCCTAAATGAAACGGTACTTACGTTATCGATATTTTAGAAATCTTAAATTGTGTAAATTACCCCATTTGATTATTTTAAAAATTGTAAAATTTCAAGTATAAGATCTTCATTGTAAATATGAAATGTCGTCTACATAAATAAAAACGCAGTCAAGGTAAAGAATTACCAAAGAAATAATATAAAGTTCCACTTAAATGTATAAGACATTGATCAAAAGTCATATGCATGGAAGAAAAAGAGGGTTATTGATAAAATCAACGTTTAAACATTAAACATTTGTATCGAAACTTTGAATTTTTTAAAGTAAACGAGAGCCGAATATTTAAAAATTATAAATATAATCACCGCAGCTAAACAAAATTAAAGTTAATTTTGACATTATAAAACTTTAAAGGATTTCAGCTGCTGCTTAGTTTAGGTTTGATTGGTCAGTCGTGTGGTCTTTTCTATGACATGATTCTTTGTAAAACTGTCATCTA